CCCTTCTTCCCTATTTGCCGAATGGACACAGTAATCACTTTCTTTATAAAACATACAGAGGATTCATGCTGTCTTCTTAAAGAGCGCACTGCCTGATGCAGAACTGCTGCTACCACTTCCACCTACACGCGCTTCCAACGGTCAGAAGGAGGGAGGGGGTCAGGGAAGTCTCCCTGGCGGAGGGGAGGGTTTGGGGTTGGGCTCTGAAATAACTGGCAGAATTTGGTGTGAGCAGAAAGTGCCTGGAAGAGTCTCTGAAGCAGAAGGAACAGCACGTTCATTTCTGAATCAAGAACGGTTGAAAGCTGTCGACGAGGAAGAAACCGCGGTCAGCATCCTCAGCCTTTCTCCCCATCCCAAGAGCTTGCCTCGGGCTCCTTAAGCTAATATTTGCCTCTCAGCCCCTGGCAGCCACGGCTGAAGGTAAATATTGGTTTAGCCTGGGAAGCAGAAGCCCCAGAAGGCAGTATGGTCCTCAGCCAACAGGGGACAGCTCACACGCTTAGAGCCTCGAAGTTTAGGCACAGCCTGGGGGGAACGGGGGGACCTGACCCAGGGCCCATCTCTGGAGAGGCCCAGGTCTCCCCCCGCCACCCCTGGGACCGGCCCTCCGAAAGCTTATCCTGAGAGTCTCCATACAACTCTCTCCCCAGCAGGCAGGTGGGGATCGTTTTCCAAGACCCGGGAACCTGGGCAGACGTTGGAAAGAAGCAGAATGCCCTGCGGCCTTGGGAGCCCCCACCCAGTGCCCTCCTGGGCTCCACCGCTGCCATTTTGATGGGGCCATAAATCTCCCATTGACCTTGTGCCCAGATCAGCCTGGGAGATCTGAATTCCAGGCCCCGCCTGGCTTCTGACTGGCTGGGAGAATTTGGGCCGGCCCCTTCCCATCTCTGGGCCATATTTCCTCTTAGTGAAAAACTTGATAGCACAGAAGCTGCTGAAAACTTTCTACTTTCATGGGCACAGCCCAGCGCCCCACCACCACCACCACCACCACCGCAAACACCTGTGCACACCCCTTCTCCTTAGTCACCCACTGCCTTTCCACTTCACCCCCTCCCCTGAAGGATCTGCTCCCTGAAAGACTGCTAATTCCCCACCTCTGTGCCTATGCACACCGCTCCTGTCTGGCCTAAATTGTTCCTCCTCGACCAGTCCATTCTTTTCACCTCTTTTGGTTCCTGACTCGAAAATCACCTCCTACAGGAAGTCCTTCTGGATTGCTCCCCAGTCACACCCCTCCACCTCCACCCCCACCCCAGTTTTACTCTTCAGCCACACACTTAATTGCAGGGTTGGGTTTAGGACACCTCAGAGCAGTTATATGGTATGCCCCCAATGTAAACACTCTTCGAGGAGAGGGATTTCCCACTTGTGTCTTCTCCCCCACTCCTGCACAGCGCCCCAGCTACGGCGGTCACAGAGGGGAGCTCGGGAGGACCCATAATCGGATCTTGGCTCGCCAGCTTTCTGCCAAGAAATATGGCTGCGCTTCCCGAGCCAACATTTCTGAGAGGAGCAGGGAGAGCTTGAGAACCTGGGATAGGAGCTTATCTCTCCAAGTATTAATCACCCCATAAAACTTGTATTTATTTAGTTGCTGGCAGGCCCTTCTTCCTGGAGGTAGGAAGCTGTTATTCTTGGAGACACCAGCCAGGCTCGGGCCAGGGCGCCCCGAGGGAAGAGGGCGATCTGCATAACGGGAGCCCAGAAGGCCCAAAGCTGGGGCCCGGCAGGTGCACCCAGGAAGCTCTGTTAGAGTTAGGGCTGAGGAGGTGGGGACGGGACACCTGCCTGGAGGTGTCAGTCAGGGAAGGCGCCAGCCCTGCCTCTGCTCTGTCAGGGGAGATGGCCAGTCTGTCCATGGCTTAACTTTCGAACCTACTCTGTGCCAGGTACCCCAGGGTGTCCCTAGTCTGAGGAGCAGATACTGGCCAGGTGGGGTTTAAAGGGGTTTTGCCAGAGATTCCAGAAAAAGGCAGGAGGGGGGAAGGGGACGGCTGAGCAGGAAACCTCTAAAGATAAGATACTGGTTTGTGGGACAGTCACACCTCAGGAAAGACAGACCCATCCTCAGAACCACCCATAGAGAGCAGTCTTCAAAGGAGAGAGGGCAACCCAGAGGAGCTGGAGGGGCCTGGCTGGAGGGAGGGAGGCTCAGGAGGACACAGGGGCAGGGAAGTGGCAGCAAGAAGAGCGGGGACAAGGGAAGTAGGGAGGAGAGGGGGGAGAGAGGGAGGAAAACTGACCCTGGGACTGCCTAAGGCAGTGGGCACACCCGGAGGGCAGGGGAGCCGAAGGAGGGCATAGAGCAGTGCGCCCACCGCCAAAGAATTCCTGGGTGGATCTTTTTTTTAAAAAAAAATCCAGTTAGAAAGAACAAAATGAAGAGATATTTTAATCCGTTAATTGACTTTAGGGTCCGTAATCAGAGTTTGAAAATGCCCAGGGATTATGGTGATTTACAGCACGGACAGGAATCAGCGGGGCCTCAGCCTTATCGAGTGCACAGAGAGGAGCCTGCCGGGAAAGCCAAATGAAACTGGAAATGCTGCCTGAAAACCCATTTATAGTCAAAGACGGGGGAATGGGACTGGGCCAGGTCGGACGCCTGGGCTCTGCCCCAGGGTGGGACCCTTCAGATTACTCTCCAGGCCCCTCCCTCAGCCCCTGAGGTTTGGAAGCCCCATCCCACCTGGCATGTTCCTACTCCCCTCACACTCCCCACCACCACCTTCCTGGAACTCGAAAGCCCAGCCTCAGCCTCCTCTTCCAGGAAGCCTTCCTGATCTCCATCCTCCCTCACTGACCTCAGCCTCCTCTGACTATCTGCCTCCCTTCATGCTTAAACCCACTGGAGGGTAAAGGGAAAGGCATTGCTTTTGGCATCAGAACACACCCAGTTCAAGTCCCAGCGCTGCCACATCCCTACACGGGCAAACCACATCTTCCCTGGGCCTCCATTCACTCCCAGTCAAACGAGGATAAAAGCCACTCCATCCGAGCTGGCTGCTAAGAGGTTAAATGAGATAACTGGAGGGGGACCATCTTGGCAAATGGAAGGAATCCTATGACCACACCATTTAACGATGTGCTGTGTTCTCTTAGATTATGCCCTGCTGGTGTCTGGAGTCTTTGCTTTGTCTTGCCTGATTTCCAGTGCATCTGGGGCCATGAGCACGCTGGGTCTGTGAGCAATCTGGGTCTACCTCAGCATGCCCCACACCCTTACCTCCATCTAACAAGTTATCCATCCATCCATCTCCCCTACCCACCCTATAAACACTCCCTGGCATTCTCCACCCACTGGCACAAGATTCCTCTCTGGAGAGGAAGCTGGGGTCCTCCTTCATAGCCTTCCCATCATTTTTTTTTAATTATTATTATTGATTTTTTTTTTTTTTTACAGAGAGGAAGAGAGAGGGATAGAGAGTTAGAAACATTTGATGAGAGAGAATCATTGATCAGCTGCCTCTTGCACACCCTCTCCTGGGGATGTGCCTGCAATCAGGGTACATGCCCTTGACTGGAATCAAACCTGGGACCTTTTAGTCTGCAGGCTGATGTTCTATCCATTGAGCCCTATCCATTGACCCCTTCCCATCTTGTTTGGGAATAAATGTATGGACGGACCCAGGCTCAGCCAATGCCTCCGCACTTAGAGAAATGCAGGTGCCAAGAGGTGGGACATGAGGAATGGAGAAGAGAATCCCACCCGGGAGGGTTCAGGGAGGAGGTGGCTTGCGAGCTGGGCCTTGAGGCCTGAATGGGATTTTGATCCTTGGGGACCATGAAGAAGGGCATTCTTTGCTTAGGGAAAAGCCAGAATGTTGTCCCCACTTTCTTTCCCCTCCTTTCTCCCCAACTAGACTGTGACTTTCTCAAAACCCGAGACATCCTTCTGTCTCCCACCCTGTGGCCAGGCCCTGGGCGAAGGCATAGTCTCCCCAACCACTTTACACAGGAGGAGACTGAGGCTCAAACTGAAGCGTCCAGGACAGAAGGCAAACGCAAGCTCTGGGACCCCAGGGCCTTGAAGCGTGGGGCCCCGAGGATAGCGCTGCAGCAGGAGGCGCTCACTAAGCACTGCCCCAGGAGAGGGGAGGTGGCCCACAGTCACTGGAGGATGACACTGTCAGCTGCTTCCCATCACAGCTCTCCGAGCCTTCAAAAGAACCCTGAGACAGTTACCATTACCATTACTTTGGGGATGAGAAAACGGAGGTCTCGAAGCACTGGCTACACTAACAGGGGTGAGGCCAGAGTCCGAGGGGGCATGTCTGACTCCAGCCGCTCTGTGGCCAGCAGGGAGCAGCCTGGCGGGCTCACCATTTCACAGAAGGAACGGGGCGGGGCGGGGGGGGGGGCACCTTAGTGTGGGCAGCCGGACTGAGACCATCCCTCTCTCCATGTGAATGTAGAAACACTTTTATTGAGCTGAAAACCAGAAAGTTCCCAAACTATTCATTTAAAAAAAACAGCCTCCTCATTTGGGGAACTCCACAAACAAAGGCTTCTGGTGATGGCTTGTTTCTCTGTTTTTACATTCACCATCTCCCCCACGTCTTTTCTACTTAAATAAAGGTGTTTTGAAAACAGCAGCTTTACTGCTCCCAGGCTCTGAAGTCAGGAAGGGAAAAAAAGATAAAAAAGTTTTTCAACCGCCAGGACAGTTTGCTCTGCAGGGATGGGAGGTGGGAAGACCAGGTGTTGGCTGAGCACTGACTTGGTACCCAGGGCTGTGCCGCGCACTTGACTCACAGCCTCTTGAACTGAATTCAATCTTCCCACCAACCCATTTTACAGATGAGACCGCTGAGGCTCATGCAGGCTCCTTCTGGAGAGGCAATGAGCGGGCTGATTTGTACCCGGGGTCTCTGTGAGCTAGCATAGCGAGGCGAGAGGGATCCTGGACAGAAGAGACTTAGCTCCCTTTCCAATCACAGCTCCCGAAGGGGGGCCCCGCGTCTACGGGGCCAGAGAGAGGGAGCACTCACCAAGCAGCTGGACGCCCCGCGTGAGGCCGTACACGTCCACCAGTGCCCAGAGCGGGTCTGCCGTGCGGACCCCGTTGAGGAAGAGCATGGCCGCCGAGTCGTTGATGCGGTAAAACACGCGGCCCTTCTTGTCCACCCAGAAGGCGATGATGTTGCCCTCGTTGGCGAACTCCTCGGGCAGCGCCTTGGCCCAGAAGCCGCTCTGGGAGACCAGGTCGGGGCAGGCGTACTTGGGCAGCGAGTCGGGGTGGATGCGGGAGGGGTCCTTGCTCGTGAAGCCCAGGCGCAGCGCCCCGCTCCAGCAGCACTGCTTCTTGGTGATCTGGACGGCAGGGGGGTGGCCTCAGACAGCCCGCAGCCTGGCCCAGCCTCTCCCCGCCTCAGGAGCCCACGAGGAAGGGAGCTGCCCCTCTCTGCAGACCACCCCCATGGAGAGCCCCCCTGCCCAGCTGGCCCACCATGTGGGCTCCTTTCCCTCCCCAGGAGCTGGTGGCCCCCATGGCCACTCCCAGCTTCCCTTCCTTCTGTGCCATGTGGGGAAGGCTGAGAAAGGAGTACGGACGGACGAGGGAACAGAAATAGGAGGGACAAGGAAGAGCAACAGTGGCAGCAGAGAGGAAAGAGAAGGTACAGGGTGCAGGAATGGTCAGAACAGAAGGCAGTGATGCGGGGGAGGGAGGTGAGATAACGCTCAGAGGCCCAGGGGGAAGCAGTGACAGAGCCGGGAGGGAAACCCCACCTTCAGCCTGACTTGCTCGTAGATGAGGACCGGGCGGTTACTGAAGGTGATGGCGTTGCAGAAGCTGGCCTGCCTCTTGACGGCCTTGTGGCTGAGGTCCATGAGGATCTGGGAGCCCTTGGTGTGCGGGTGGAAGAGCAGCGGTGTGGCCAGGAGCACCCCGCCGGGCAGCACTGGCGGGCAGTGCTTCTGCTTGTGGTGGCATCGGTGAGAAGTGACTGGGAAGGGACCCCCGATGGAGTCTGCACAAATAAAATAAAAGCCACGGTATCAGAGAACTTGGTGATCCAAGAGCTAGACTAGGGTACCCTAGGCAAGGCCAGATGAGTAGGAAGTCACCCACTGCCCAGTATTTCTACCATCAGGGCAATCCACCACCTCTGCCACCATTTGCCTCCATCCTTCTCCTGCTCCTATCTACTGCTATTTCCCACTTCACCATCTACCACCATTTATTACCCACCATTATCTACCCTCCTCCTTCACCCATCACCTCCCACCACCACCTAACCTCATCCTTCACCCATTACCTCCCATCACCACCATCTACCCTCATCCTTCACCTATCACCTCCCACCATCACCACCTACCCTCATCCTTCACCCATCACCTCCCATCACCACCGTCTACCTTCATCCTTCACCCATCACCTCCCATCACCACCTACCCTCATCCTTCACCCATCATCTCCCACCACCTTCATCTACCCTCATCCTTCACCCGTCACCTCCCACCACCATCATCTACCCTCATCCTTCACCCATCACCTCCCATCACCACCACCATCTACCTTCATCCTTCACCCATCACCTCTCATCATCACCAAGAAAAACTACTATCTACTGTTTCTCCCTAGTATTTCCCACCATCTATCTTCAACCATCAACCTTTACAGCAAATCAGCATTTACTACCAACACGCACCACCATACAGTCACTCACTACCACCAACATTTATTTTTTCCAACAAATATTCACTATGTATCTGCTGAGCACTGAGCCCTGTCCGAGGCACTGGAGATACAGGCATGAAACACCTAAGGATCCTCTCCTCAAGAAGCTAACATCCCAGGAAGGGAGATGAGACATGGACAGAAATCACAATATAAGTGGTAGGCAGTGATACGTGCCAAAAGGACACACAGGCAGACCACTTCTCAGAGAGACATCCTGGATGACAGGAAGAGGGGAGGAGAAGTAAATGGAGCTGGACCTACAAGGCTGGGCTGTAGTGAACAGGGGACCATGGGGCTGCCATTGGAGACCAGGAAAGTGGGTGGGGCAAGCTTTGCAGCCCCAGGACCACACTTATCTCTTCCTTCTTTTGGGGCCTCTTCCCTCCATCCCATGCTGCCTTCCTCAACCCCAAGCTGCCTTCCTACTTCACCCAGGCTTCCTAAAGGAACTCAGATCTGCCTCAAGAACCCCTGGTAGGTAGGTGGTGGTAAAGGGAGGGGATGGCCAGGGAGGTACAGCTCTTTCTTCCAGACAGCTCCACCACAGCCCAAAGTGCGATCGAGTATGGGATAGGATTTGGTCCAGGAGAGGTGCTTCACCACCGTGTGAGGTGCTTTATAAACATGCGAGGTGCTTTACAAACAGGAGACAAGACAGAGAGAGGGAAGAACACAGGACAAGGTGTCAGATGACTGGTCTGTGACTATTGGTCGCATGACGATGGGAAGTCACTTCCCCTCTCTGGCACAATGGGTGGCCTCTACCCTGTGGCTCTAAGACATGTGTCAGCAGCACTGACATTATCAATGCACAGTCTTGGGGGTGGGAGGGTGTTCATTTCTTCCCCCAGATCTGTGCACCACCCATCAGGGAGGGCAGCCCCCTCCCACCCATCATCTTGAGGAGAGACATGGACAAGGGGGAGATGGAGGCGGGGAAGTAGAAAGCCACAAAATATGACAGAGGCTGTTTTTTAGTCCCTCAGAGGAGAGCATTTAAAAATGCAGAAAGCTGGGTCAGCATCAGGCCTGCCCAGAAAGCCTGCCGCCCCCTAAAGGGGGAAGAGGGGTTACCAGGAAGGAGAGGAAGACAGGGAGGGAAGAGAGCAGGAGGGAGGGCTCCCAGACCACTCCAGGCCATGTTTGCATCCCTTTGCATTTTTGCTTCCTCCTTCCCAGAGGGCCCAGACACCAGTGCCCACTGTCCTGGGCCAACTGGACACCCTATGAGTCCACCTCCAGGCCTCCCTGGCAGCAGTGTCCTGAAGGCCAGGCCCATGGGGTGAGGGTGGCACAAGGGGCTGCCTTGCTTTTACCAAGGAGACAAGACTGGACTGTCAGCCAGTGCTCCAGGACTCTGAAAGCCATCAGGTGGTGAGGGCTGGAATTGCTTGGAGGAGACCCAGGCAGTCTGGGAAGGCTACCTGGAAGAGGCTAAGTGGCCCCTGGACAGTACAGAGCAGGGGAGATCATTCCAGGGAAGCGGACAGTTGTGGGGAAGGGTAAACGCCTGGCAGTGGTACTCACTGGGCATATACCAGCCTCAGGCACAACTTGACTCTTTTTTAAAATGTTTCTATTGACCTTTAGAGAGAGAGAGGAAAGTAGAGGGAGAGAGAAGATAGAAACATCAATGACAGAGAAACATCAACATCAACCAGCTGCTTCCTGCACAACCTCCGCTTGGAACTGAGCCCACAACCTAGGCATGTGCCCTGACTGGGAATCGAACTGGCGAACTCCTGGAGCACAGGTCAACACTCAGTCACTGAGCCATCCCAGCTGGTGAGCTTGACTCTTGATTTAAAAAAAAAAATACCTCTGGTAAAAGGTAACATTATGCATTGTTTAGGGATATACACATATACAGAAATGAAGCATAAAGGGAAAAAAAATACCTGCTGAGTGAATGGATAGCAAATTGTGGTACATCTATACAATGGAATGCGACTCAGCAGTAAAAATGGAATGAACTATGGACAGCAACATGGATGAGTTTCAAAATAACTATGCTGAGTAAAATAAGCCAGTTTCAAAAAAAAGTTCGTATAGCCCTAACCGGTTTGACTCAGTGGATAGAGCCCCAGCCTGCGGACTCAAGGGTCCCAGGTTCGATTCCAGTCAAGGGCATGTACCTTGGTTGCAGGCACATAACTAGTGTGCAGGAGGCAGCTGATCAATGTTTCTAATTCTCTATCCCTCTCCCTTCCTCCCTGTAAAAAAAAACAACAAGATTATATATATATATATATATATATATATATATATATATATATATATGCATATATAACCCACGGAGCAACTGCAGGCCCTCAGATCCCTTCAAAATGCTTCCTCTTCTTCCCACCCATCCCACTTGGGGCCCTGGGCCCCTCAATAAAGGTACAGAAATCACTGGTGCTGAGCGAATATAGTGGGGACACCCAGGGTCCAGAGACCCAGGCCCTGGCAGGATCACTCCCAGGCCTCCCTTCCACAGGGGAATGTGGGGTGGGCCAGAGCCCAGCCTCCCTGGCTGACAGCAGAGCAGGTGGAGAAGGGAACAGGGGAGCCCTGGTCCCCGGAGGCACAATGTGCACCCAGACCTGTGGTCTCAAACGCACGCTCATGAGCGCACGCGCGCACACACACACACACACACACACCTGTGAGCACATAAAGGCATGAAGGTAATCCAGACCCTGGGAGACAGAGAAGGCAGAGAAATGTATCTTTTCCTTATCCCCTAGACCAAAAATCTCACCTTTCTGTCTATACTGTGGACACATGCCTGGACTCGTGTACACATGGACCTACAGAACACTGCACATAAAACACACGCCCATCACATACGGACCTGCCTCCAAACCCATCCAATTTCTCTTTGAACAAGAGCCAACTCCACCATTTGTTGAAAGTGCTGCTCTGCACACCTCCAGGGGGCACCATTCTCATGGGTTACAACAGGAATGGTGCCCTCACAGATGTGCAACATGGCAGCCCTGACCCGGGGATCACCACCTCCCCACCCCCTGTTTCTGTTCTGTCCTCCCTCTCCATCTCAGCTGGCATTATGATCTGGGGGGAGAAGGAGATAGAGCAAAATGAGAATTAACATTAAGAACAGCTTGATGCCAAGGACTAGCTAGGGGTAGGGCTTTCCTATACCATCCAAACAGCTGCCCTCCCTGCACTGGGACATACACTATGACCCCTTCAGGTCCCTATGCTATGGGTGAGTGAATTGCGATTCAGACTGGTTGACCAAGTTGTTTGAGGTCACAGAGCAATTAAGTGGAAGAGCTGAGACTTGCACCCTGGTCTTCCAATGCCATGGCGAGTCCTTTACCACACTCAGCATCTAGTGCTAGTGCTCATTTCTCCAAGTCCAAGATGGCAGGCAGGGAGGGGAAAGGCTGTTGGAGGAAGTACTGGCCAGTCCCAGCAGAGGGAGCAGCCTGGGCCTGTGTGCTAGGCAACTGCTCTCCTGGGGGCCACGGGTCCTGGGTGGCTCCCAGCAGAGTTCCCAGCAAGCCCCACCTTACTGACAGGTTTATAGGGCACCCCCCACAGGCGAGGCTGCTGCTGACACAATGGAAACTCCCCCCTTCTCCCCCACAGCCCGTCCGCCTGGGCATTTATGAGCTGCCACACACAAGCCAGGTCAGGCCTCCAGGTGACCCTCAACCAGCTCAAGGCTTCATTCCTCCCTTTCAGTAGGGACCCAGGGGAGATGCCCAGACACAGCGTAGCCTTCAGAGTGACCTCCCCACTGCCCCCCCCCCCCCCCCCCCACCAAGCTCTGCCCCAGGACCATCCCCGCAGAGCCCTGGACAGGCTGAGCTGGGCTGCCAAGGAGAGACGGGGAGGGAGCAATACTAAGGGCTATGACCAAATTCTATGTGGCTTAACAGGCAACGTCTTTATCCGCCCCAATGCCACTCGGACAGACACAGGTCCTCAGAAGAGGCGTTACCATGGTCACCCAGCCAAGGTAAAGAGCCCAGATTGGAACCTGAGCCTGCTGCCTCCACACCGAGAAACTCTGTCCCTAACTGTGAGATCTCCGAGAGCCTCACTTTTCTCATCGGTAAAGTGGGGGTCACAGCAGACCTTCTTCACAGGATTTTTGTGAAGATTAAATGAGATGATGTATGTAAAATGAACCCCAGTAAGTGGCTGCTATAATAATAATAATAGTTATTAATTACAACTACTATATAATGATGATTATTACTGCTGTGGACATTCATCTGTGCTTCCCCACCTCCACCCCTCTGCTCACGCCGTTCCCCTGGCCCACGTACC